AATGAAGGTAAGCTAGGCAATCGCCACGCACAGAGTCCTGCACTCCTTAGAGAAGAGATAAGGCACAGTCGTAATAAATACCCACGCGTGTATTTCTTTTACCTCTGGTTTCACCGTTTGCAACATCCTCCCATGCATTCTGAGTGCGTGCGTGCAACTTGGGATCGTGCGTCATATTAAGCCATAATACCTTTGTTAGACATAAAGGTGCAGCCAGATTTGCTTGTGGGTTTTGCTGCAACCGACTAAACAGGGCTGCTGGCCCATGTAGATCAGGGATTAGCATTAGCCACAGTATGAATCAGACCGTCTCAGCTGCCCAGTCGCTTGTCAATGGAAAGAGTGCGTTTTCACAAGCACATGGAAAAGTACAGAGCGTGTGTGTAGAGAGGCGGTGGACAACACGGGGACGATGCAGATTTAGGGTGTGCTGCCCTATCGCACTTGAAGCTCCAGGGGCGTGCGTCTGAATGGGCGGCCACAGAACCGATCGTCCTCTCCGACGTGGAGAAGACTCTTGTGGGGTCCCTGTTCCTTGCCCTCAAAGGCCAGACCCACGCTCTGCTGTCACAGACTCGCAGTGGGACGCTTCGGCTCCAGTATGTGTGGCGGGCCCAAGCCAAGGGGTTTGCTCTTGCCAGTATTTCTCAGGCGGCGACACTCTCCTTTGGAAAACCGCTTCGTGCCGGGACGCAAGAGCTGATCGGGGGCGTATCGACTCGCTGATTTCCCCCCTATAACGGCAGTTCTCGTGGGCCTGGGAGCAGGTCCTGCCGCGAATGGGTCCTGGACTGGGCTCGAGAGTGCCACCCCGAGAACCTCTGAGAAGAGCCCCGCCTCCCTTCATTAGGCACCCCTTCCTCTGCTCTGCATCTCCAGCTCGACCCAAAGTATTGTATTGCAGGCATCGCCCACTGATGGGAACAGCAACCTGCCGGCCCTTCCAAGCAGCTGATTGGCGCAGGTCATTTACAGGTGGCTGAACCAAGATGGGGATGGAGCGGCCAGTCTCTCTCACTCAAACCGCAAGCGTGCCTGAGATCACAGGAACTGAGTGGCCGGTGTTAATTTTACCCGACAGTATAGTATTATTATTATTATTATTATTATTATTATTATTATTATTATTATTATTATATTCCAGGACCCTGCTGTAAACCATCCTGAGAACCTCCCTCTGTATTAACATAGGCTACACCCCCCAATAAATGAACGAACTGATAAATCAACTAGCTTCTATCGAAGGTGGAGGGGGCTGTTGGTGCGGGGAATTTTCTAAGCTTTTGCATCCCCTGGTAATGAAGCCGGACATAGACAACGCTTCAAGCTGATGAACCTGGATAACTCCTGCCCCAGGTTTCGTGCAGTTATTCAGGCGAATTTCAAGTAGGAGGCAAAGAAGGGAACCTGCATCCACCGCCTAAGCGGGGTAGGCAAAGAAGAGATGTATTGATAAAAGCACTGTCTGATTTGCTGTAGATTACCACGGTTTTGCTGCTTTCCATTCCTTGACAACAGCAGCATAACGAATCTCCCCGCCCCCCGCCACCCTAAGTTATACCGAGGAAGTGAAGAAATTCATAGTGCTGTGGGGAAACCAGGGATGGAGTTTGGGAATGAAGGACACCGAGTGTGCCTCAGTTCTGCTATTCAGGACAAATCCCTGGCCTCGAATGTCTTCCATCGAAGTCTTTTGCACTAAACTCCGTGGGCAACTGTCTGGGTTCTAGTAAAAAGAAACAAACCCTGCACAGTGGATCCTTGAAGTCCGCCCATCCCCGGGCTGAAGAGGGTGGTCTTAAATATGCGCCCTGGGGAGAAAACAACACAAGGAAGCCTCGTGTCGGGCCGCTGTAAATCCCCCCTCCTCTAGCAAACAAAGCGGATGCCAACTGCTGCAGACAAATGAGCACGTCCCTTTGCCAAGGCCTCCGCGCGTTCATTAGGCTGAGAATTTACTCGATCTCCCAGCAGTTGAGACCCCCTCGAGCTCTGAGCCGCTAGCAGGGAAAGCTTCCCCACAGGCCAAGCACCATCCCCTCGGCCCTTCCCAAGAGAAGCTGCGCCCTGCTTGGGTTTGCTCGGACGCCGGACTTCTTGGGGAAGGGAGGGCGGCCGTGTGCTGTCCGATCCGTCTTCCTTCCTTAGTCCGAGCTCTCGAACAGCCCTGGGAGGTTCGGCAGCTCACTTTCTTCTCGGGTTCTCCTGTGTGTGGCTGGAGGGGCGGAAGCCCCCCGCCGTGAGAGAGCCGCTCTCTCAGCCAGTGCAGATGGGACCTCGGTAGCAAGGAGAGCGCCCGGGGAGCGGATCTGGTTCTCCTGGACTTCTGGAAAAGGAGGCAGAGAAGAAAGAGCACTGCGCCACCTGGATTCGTCCTCCGCGGGGGACTGAAGGCTGCCCAAGTTTTGACGGTCGCAAGTAGAAGTATCAGCAGTGGAACTGCTGGCAGTGTCCAAGGATCGTTTTAAGCCTATTTCACACTAAAGGGGAAGTGCATCTCGATTTAGCCAGACGTAGAACAAACCCGTTAAAACCGCGAGAGGACTTTTTCCCACGGATTTCAATGGGTTTCCTCGACCTATGCTGAAATCAGGATGACATGATCATGGCAGGATCTTAAAGTCATTGCTTCATGTCATGGCTAACTTAAGTCCGACTGATTTCAGAGAGCTTCGGAGCTGTAATTAACATAAACAGGCGACCAAACAGACATGACTATATCCAGATCCCTTCCAGGCAGTGAGACCGATTGATAAATAAACATTTTTATTTCCGAATAAACATATCCTTTTAATTTGAATCCTGATTCAAGAAGAATTCTGCTACCAAAGTTCAAAGCATGCTCTTTATTCTGCAGTTCAGTTTATTGCTGCCCTTTTTAGGTACAGCAGCAAAATCCATGATCTGCCTAAAACAAATTATTTGTCTCGAATGTGATTCACTTTTTTGCTTAATGCTTTGTTGATCTGATGCTATCTGGGTGACCCCAGTGTCTTCAAATAGGCATCCCAGTCCTAAAGGCATCACTTCTTGCCATATCGCTCAGTGAGACCCTTTCTTCCAAGTCAGGCTGTGATCTTGTACAGATCTGCCTGGGAGTGAGTCCCACTGAAGATAGTAGCGATTAGTTTTCGGTAGACATGTGTAAAGCATTATACTGTGAGTGTGTTTAGGGTACTCAAGCAAGTCCAAACCTCATTGACATCAGTACCAAACATCATCACCACCATCATTATTTTGATTGTCTTCTCCTAGTACAAATAGCCTTTCAGAGCAATAGAATGGATATTAGGAACAAATCCGAAGAGTTGGAGTAATCAAAACTGAATACCTTTACAGTAAGTAAATTCTCTACTTACAGTGGTTCCGTACCTTCAGATCCTCTGCATAAAGTGTTTTAAAGTCTCCAGGAATAGCACGTTGATCTTTGTACTGGAAATAGACATTGTTTGTTTTTGTTTGCTTACTTGTTTACTTATTTACTCTGTCCCACATGTCCTGCTTACCTTCACTCATCCCAATCCTTCCTCCAACAATTATTGGGAATGTGGGCAGACTTGCTTCTGTCTTTGTTGTTTTGCTTCTCTTTTGTGCTCTACAAAATCCCTCAAAAATCCCCATAAATTCTTTACCACACTGGAAACATTATTGGCTGAGGGTTGAACAAGATCGACATCCTTTGAAAACAAGAGCAACTTGGTTACAAAGGATGTGGTTAACTGGTCATTTGATACACTCTCACTATAGCATATTTCGTTTAATAAATAGGTTTCTGCCCTGTAAAAGAAGAAGTAAACAAACAAACAAATTATGAATGTTAAAGTAGGTTATGCATACACCTTAGGTAAATTATAATCTACAAAACTAAAATCTGCAGCTGGTGGAATTCTGCAAAGCACTGCCTTGTAGATTGAAATGTGTCCTTTGGAATAACAAACCAGTCACTTGATTACTCCTGTCCAGTAGTTTCCTATAAATCATCTTCTGGTAGATTTCTTTCCTGTGCGGGGGGGGGGGGGGGAGGAAGAAAGGAAGAATTATATATAAGAACTTGTTTGAAATGAATTATCATTAGGAACAATCAGAAATGGAGGTGGTTAGGCTATCAATCAAACTGTCCTCCTGACTTGTTCTCACTACTGCTACTAATTCCAGAGTTTAAACCAGATGGCCCAAAGACTTGAAATCAAATCGTGCGTTACAAAGAGGAGGGGGTGGAGAAGAGAAACCCCTAATCACAAGTAGCCCAATATTCATGAATGCGTTTTCAATCTAAGACTTCTTGCAAGTGCAGCTTTTCGTCTCTTGCAAACGAAAAGCCACAAAGGATTCACTGGAAAAGGAAGGCACCCAGAGCGAGTGTCTTTTGGGGGAACGCAGGTCTAAATTTCTCAACTGCTGTGGATCAAAGTTCTAGTTGCTAATACACGCACATACCCTTAAAAATTAAAATGAAATCGGAAGGCTACTTAACTGTCCCACTGAGGAACTCAAAGGGCGCTACTTTGCAGTTGAATTCAGTCCGCATCTCCCCTTTTTCACACTTGCCCCTGGCATCCTCCGCAAGCACTGGTTACACCTGGTGCATCTCTCCCCTCCTCCCAGCAACAGCCCCCACCCGCCCCCACCGCCCCTTTAACTCTTCGCTCCGGCTCTTCCTTTCATCTTTCTCGCCGGCAGACGTTTCTATTTATCCCCCGGCAATCAAGTGAGTGGCGTCACCAGAGGTACAGTAATGACGATTGCACCATTAAGGGATGACAGCTTTAGAAAGAAGAGGGCAATGGTGAGATCCCTCCCAGAGCCGGCGCTGCACACTGGAGCGCTCGCATCACAAGGTCACCCCCCGGCTCACGCCGCTGCTCCTCTCTGCATTGGCAGGAGAGGTCTGCTGGGAGGGGAAGGGGGGGACAGCAGGCGCAAGGGGGTGGATGGGGGTTGGGGTGGGGTGGGGTGGGGGAGAGAGGGAGAATCTGGATTTTGTTTAAAAGACAAGCACAATGGAAACCAGGAAGGAGATGGTGATGTTTCTGGAAGGAGGTCAACTTGGCCCTCTGGCAAGCAAGAGGGCATCCACTTTGGCAGAGACCGTGGGAAGCCCCGGCCAAGAGGCGCAAGACAAGATGGTTCACAGGAGCTGCCTGAGTCCTCGATCCGGCCCTTTGCCCTCCCGGGAAAGAGGAGCAGGAGGGCGAGGAAGGCTGGAAGAGGAGGACGACGAGGACGACGAGGAGGAGGAGGAGGAGGAGGAGGTGGAAGTGTTACCGGGGACAGGGACGGTCCCGGAGAGCCGCTCGGCGGCGGCGGCGCTCCTCTCCGCCGGCCAGCAGCCCCCTCTCCACCGCCTCTCCTCCGCCAAAGGCCAGCAGAGCAGCTCGGACACCGAGTCGGATTTCTATGAGGAAATCGACGTGAGCTGCACCCCGGACTGCGCCACGGCCAGCGCCGAGTACCACCAGCACAGCCAAGGTAACCCGCGCCCGCGCCCGGCCGCCGAGCTCCAGCGGGCGCCGCCCGCCGCCTCTCCAGCTGGGGAGCGCCCGGCCCCGGAGGGGCTCGCCCAGTCGCCGCCGGCCGCGGGGACGCCGGGGCTCCCGGGAGGCGCGTGGGTGGGACTGACGAGGCTGGGTCTGGCTTTCTACTGGATCCACCGCGCAAGCAGGAGCCGGGGCTGGAAACGGGGCAACCCCCTCCCTCCATCCGATTCGGCTCAAGTGTCTGGACGATCGCGGCCTGTTTTATTTTGTCGCCCCCCCACCCCGCCTTCCCTTTTAATCTCGCTGGATCCTTCTATCTCTAATTGCCCGCAGAGAGACATCTGCAATCACCCCCACACATCTCCCGCTTTGAAGTCTAACGACGTGTTAATGGGAGACATGAAATCGCATCCTCGGCTGCTGCAACAGAGAATTATGACCTTTGCAGATTTCGGTCCCGCAGCCCAGACGTTTGCTGTAAAGAATTTCCCCAGAAGCTTTTCCTGTTCCAGGGCCGCGCGCCCCCGCCCCTCGTTGCTTCCTCCACCCACCCAGGATGGATCCCTGCCCCCCTTCCCAGCCCCAAGCACGGGGGGAAGAAAGCGGGTTTCCCTGGATTGGGCCATGATCAAAAGGAGCCCGCGCTTCTCCTCGCCACGGGCTCTCCAGTTGGGGATGGAGCGGGGGGGGGAGGGAGGGAGGGAGGGGGGGCAACGCGCCTGCAGGAGCACAGAATCGGCCACCCCTCCCCCAGAAGCCCGTAAATTCGCCGCAGGCCGCCCCGGCCGGCCGGCCTGCCGCCCGCCCGCCCGCCGGAGCAGCGCGATGGGGTCCTGTTTGCACGTTGGTTCGAGGTCCCAATTGCTTTGCCACTTCCCTGTCTCAGTGGCGCCAGCTAGGAAGTGGTCGCAGGGCTTTAATTGCCTTTGGCCTCATTCAGGCACAATGAGAACTGGCTGCATTTGAAAGCCAAACGCCGGGGCCAACGGGCCTTTTCTCATCCCCTCCCACCGCCACCACTCCCCCTCCTCAGCCCCAGAGCCCTAAACTTCTGGGAAAGTCTTGGCCAGGGCAAAGCCCTCCTGCTTTGGCTCAGGAGGCTTCTTTCATCTCGATTGTCAGAAGAAAGAAGGGGTGGGGTGGGGGAAATACATGCATCTTCCCTTCCCACAGGGAGGCTGGATCTTCTAAATGGCGTTTTTTTCCTGGACCCCCCCCCCTTTTGTCATGCATTCCTTGGCCAAGAAGAGCAGTCCAGAGGGTTGGAGGGTTCTTGGACAATGTCGTGGCAGGAACTCGCTTCCCAGCCACGCACCCACACTAGTGCCAGGCCTGCGCGAAGATCCTCCTTTCTCTTTTGTACAGTAGGAAAGGGAAAGCTCGCCTGACCATGTCAAAGATGCTTCTTAACATCTTTATCCTGTTCCTGTTCTACTGAAGAATCACACTCCACCGTGTGTGTGATGGAGGGAGGTATTCTCAGAGGACTGGTGGCATTGGCCTAGCCCAGAAAAAACAACAAAGAACCCAGGGGCACCTGAAAGCCTAACAGATTTATAGTAGCATAGACTTTCGTGGATCCGCCTGATCAGATGCGAGATTGTTGGGGTGGGAGGTAGAGAAACTAAAGATGTTTCTCCAGTGGGTGTTTGTTTGTGTGTTTGCTTGTTTCTAAAGGAGACTAGATGGGCAGGTCTCTTCAGTTCTTGCTTCCTCCTCCCGGTTGCTTTCAGTTGCAGGTGCTGGCAAAATAAGCCCAAGGAAAAATCTCTCCTTACTTTCTGCGCTGGCCAAGGGGCAGCCCAGGGATGCTAAAGCGTTTAGAGGAAAGCCGGTGTGCATTCCTCAGCTCCACACGCGTCTGGGCTTGCTGTCAGAAGCCCATTGACTCGATTCGGATCCCACTGAATCAATGGGAATTGTTTACCATTGAAGGTCTCCCCTTAGGCTTCATTTAGCCATATGTCCAATGGATTTCAGCAACCCTGCGATGTATGCATGAGGCAGACTGCGTGAGTATGTTGGTGGTGGTTTGGCCTCAGAACCAGATGATAAAAGGATAATTAAATGTGGTTTGTTCTGGGTGAATTTGCGTTCCAAAGAAACCTGCCTATGGCATAAAGCTAAGACTGCTTTCTCGAAAGAAAGTCCTATTATAGTCTGTAGGGTTTACGCCCAGACCAATCTGCATAAGAATGCCATCTCGGCAAGAGACGAAAAGAGCAACAAGCCCAGATTGTCACTCTATTCCTAAATTCTTTCCGTGGCTGTACCTATCTGGCTTGGAAAGCTGCTTTCTTAATTCCAAAGGCCCACTGACCCAGCTTCCAAGGTGCGTATTGTTTCCTATTTCCAAGCCCCTATTTCCAAGTAAGGAGACGTCCCAATCTAAGGAAATCCGATCATACCCGAGAATTCTGAATGTTTACTTGGAAGTAAATCCCATGGAATTCTGTGGGGCTCAGCATCAATGGAACGGGCCTATGATAGCCACCTCGGTTGCGTGTGTAGCCCTTTGCAATTAATAGGCTGCACTTTCCAGTAAAGATGTCCAGGACCAAATTGTTAAACTATTTAAACCACAGCAGCAGCAGTCTGTCGATCGGCCCGGTGATCCAGGCCTCTCGATGAGCAAGCACCCAAAACCTGGCCTCGTGTTTATCAGTATTTTGATTTGCACCCCGCCTTTCTGCCCGGGAAAGGGAGCGCCAGGCCGCTGCATGGCCTGCAGCACCCCTTCTCCGCTGCTTCCTCAAGCGGGGGGCTCCCTACGGCGGGCTGGGGCAGGTTGGCGCAGTCTTCCTCTCGCTGGCTGACGCTCCGGCTCTCTTGCAGGACAGGGCTCGGAGGCGTCCGCGGGCAGCCCCAGCAGCGGGAGCGAGCCCCCCAAGGGCGGCGGCGGCGGCGCGGGTTCCCAGGGGTCGCTGTCCTGCAGCGCCAGCGACCAGATGCGACGCTACCGGACGGCCTTCACCCGGGAGCAGATCGCCAGGCTGGAGAAGGAGTTCTACCGGGAGAATTACGTGTCGAGACCCAGGAGATGCGAGCTGGCGGCCGCCTTGAATCTACCCGAAACCACCATCAAGGTGCCTGACTCCACGTTCCCATCAACACCGTGGGGGCCTCATCCCCCCACCCCAGCCGTGGCCGCTCCGTCCTGCGCAGTAGAGGTCCCAGCAGCGGTGCAGCTAGGCCGGAAGGACGGGGTCCCAAATGCGCAGCTAGGGAGTGGCTTGTGGTGAAGGTCATCTGAGTAGCCAGTTTTATTCCTGCAGTCGGGATGGTCCTCCAAGATGCAGAGCTGCCTGTACCCCGAGCATTATTGAGAAAGGAAGGATAGCCAGGCTTGGCAAGCAGTTTTATACCTGCTCTAACATATCAGAAACGCAAAAGCAGCTGTAAAGCGTGGAAAGGCTGGAGTGAGGGGGAGAGACGAGGTGTATGAGTTGTGTGCTTCATAGCTGAAGTGTTATGTATGTTGCCTAAAGCCCATCCCTTTTCCCATGAGCACCCCATTTCCATGCCTACCCCCATAACTCCAGAGGCTGAAATTACCTGCCTGAGGAATTCCAGCCTTGGCTTAGTATAGGGATTTCAGCCTCAGGACAACGAGCAGGTGTTTCCACCCATGCCAGTGTGCAGGAGTGCTTATTAAGGTGGATTGGTTACCAACTCACCACCCCATCCCCACCCTTTGACCATGGTTATGCCGCACTCCCAGTGATAGGGCCTTCCTTCTATGCTTTCAATGCATGTTCGGCAGAGATCCCGATCTGACTTGGCCATCAACACGTCCAGAGAGTGAAACATGCACTGGTTGTTTGATGCACAGGCAGAGAGGTTTGTTCCTGCGTACTTGGGAAAGGAGGTGTCCTGACAGTGCAGTCCTAGACCTGTCTGCTCAGAAGTAAGCCCTGTTAAGTTCCATGGGCCTTGCTTTCAGAGAAAGGGTGTGTATAGGACTGCAGCTTAAACCAATTGTGTGAGAGCCAGTGTCTATGAAATCAGTCCAAGAGTAGTATAAAGCCATCAAATGAAACATCACAAGGTCGTGAACTATCTCGTGATGGTGCTAGAGGACTGCCCCTTTTTGGATCCCATGCCCTCTGGGCTAACAAGAATCTTGGTAATTTTGTCTAGGGTAGTCAGTGGCACTTATTCCCAAGTAAATGCACTTAGAATGGAATTGTCAGCTGTTTTGACTTCAGTGGGATGAAATAGCTTGGAGATGAAGCCCTGTGTTTTATATGGTGCCTGGATCAGGTTGTTTCTTGTAGCCTTGACTCACAGACATGAGTTAAGGATACACCCTAAGCACAAGTACTTGGGGGATAGCCCCTCTGAACTCGCTGGGAGCTAGTTCTGTGTAAACGCTGTAGGATTTCACTACACACTTTACCTGCCTTCATCTGCTAAGAGATGAACGCCTGTCCATACAACCCTTATAAAGTGAAACTCACATTTAGATATTACAGGCTATTTTCCAAAGCAGTTCTTAGCACAGATGAAATTTCACACACAAAATCTTGTCAGTGATCCAGCTTGGTTTCCTATGGAAGGGATTGATTTCCTATTCATTTCAGTCTGGCCATCTCATCACATAGTCAGGGCCTATTTGAAAAGTACTGGAAATAAGTGAAAGCTGGATAGGAAAGACAAGACAGAAGGGAATGACAGCAGACAGGAAGACAAGGGAGAAGCAATTCTGTAGCATAAAATAATAACAATCATCATCACGCCCAACTATCTAGCAAGAGAGGCAGGGAGGTCCTTCCTGGGTGCTGTGGATGAACAGGACAGGGAGAGAAACAGTCTTCCCTTTTTCAGCCCCATTGAATGAAGAGAAGTTATACAAAAGAACATTTCTGTAAGTGTTTTGCAGTAGGAATCTGGGCAAAAATATGGCCCTGACCTGAAAGTGAACTTCCTATTTTTCTGTCATCTTAATATGCCAAGCCCTTCCTTGATATCACACGCTTATAAGACACCCCTTACACACACACATAGACACTTTATTCATTTTATTTGTATTTCAAGAGAGCGGCTGTGGTGGGACCGGAGGAACCAGACTCCTGGTTTCAGTGATGATTATGCAGATCTGGTAGACAGCTTGTTGTGTGTGTTTGTTGGAAAACCAGTGGCCGTTGTGTGGTGACTTTTGCTATTGCAAATGGGCTGGAATCAAACCAGTTGTAAGGCCCCCTGTACACTGCCAAGTGCCGGATGAATGATCGCCGGCCAGAGGTTCGCAGCCAGGCGATCTCGCCGCGCTTTGCCGATCGCCAGGACGCTTGGCACGGCTCGGCCCCCTGGCCGGCTGCGCCGCGGCGACGGCCTTGCCCCCGAGTCAGTGCGCGCGGGGCGGCAGCCCTCCTGGGCAGGGGGACGGGTGGGCGCCTCGGGACTGCAGGAGGCTCCTCCGCTGGGGATGCTAAGCGCTCGCTGTGCTTCTTGTGTCTGTCCCCGCCAGGTGTGGTTCCAGAACCGGCGCATGAAGGACAAGAGGCAGCGCTTGGCCATGACTTGGCCGCATCCGGCAGACCCGGCCTTTTACACCTACATGATGAGCCATGCGGCGGCCACGGGCAACCTGCCCTACCCCTTCCCTTCTCACCTGCCCCTGCCCTACTACTCCCACATGGGCCTGGGGGCCACCTCGGCTTCCGCCGCCGCCGCCGCCCCCTTCAGCTCCCCGCTGAGGCCGCTCGACACCTTCCGGGTCCTTTCCCACCCTTACCCCCGGCCAGAACTGCTGTGCGCCTTCCGACACCCATCCCTCTACGCCGGCCCGACCCACGGACTGAGCGGCGCGGCGGGGGGCCCCTGCTCCTGCCTGGCTTGTCACGGGAGCCAGGCCAACGGGCTGCCCCAGAGGCCTTCGGGATCGGACTTTACCTGTTCGGCGACCACCAGGACGGACTCTTTTCTCACCTTCACGCCCTCGGTGCTGAGCAAGACTGCCTCGGTCTCCCTGGATCAGAGGGAAGAAGTCCCCTTGACCAGATAAAAGGTTCATCTCAGGTTTCCCTTCCTGTCCGCCCCACCCCCACCCCCACCCCCTTTCCTTTCCTTTCCCCCACTCCGCCTCTCCTTTTCAGAGATGCCCCCAGCCGGCCGCAGAACTTCCGTCCTGTCTTTATTTAATTGCGCTAGGTGGACACCAATGGAACATTTCTGTGGGTGGGGAGGGAAGGAAACTCAAATAAATAGATAAATGGAAGAAAGGGTCTCTATTCCGTGCAAATCCAAGGAAGATTACAACTGAATTTGCAAGCGATGGGTGGTGGATTTGTCAAGGACGCACGAAGGAAGGAAGGAAGGAAGGAAGGAAGGAAGGAAGGAAGGAAGGAAGGAAGACACTCTTTGCACCATAGAAACGAGCTAAAACTTTGCTCTCCGAAGGACTCTCCTCCAGTCTAAGGGGGTGGGGGCAGGATGCCCACCAACCACGGCGAAAATAGCTTATGCATAACCTTGTATGTGACTAAAAAGGAAAATACTTGAAGAAGTTGTCGATCCTAACAAAACAAAAATGTATGCCTGATGAAAGTAAAGATTTATTCTTTGCCAGATTAAAAAGAAAAAGTGAAGGGCCTTTGTGGATTTGCAGTTTAAGAGTGTCCGTCCTGCTACAGATATGTAGATATACAGGAATTGACTGAAAGAACAGCAGAGGACCCCTTCAGCCGATACACTGTAAATTCTGCTGGGCATTCTTTAAAATCTTTTCTCAGCCCGCAGACGTAGCAAGTATCCCGGCAGATCGGGTGTCTTCTTCCTTTTCTCCTCTCCTGCTCTTCTCAGAGAAGGAAGGGTCTTGCCAGCTGAGAGGGGGCGGGGAGGGCGGTTGCGAGAGTGAAATTGGCAGAGGAAAGCCCGGGGGGTCAAAGCTATTTGTCCTTTAAAATAACAAGTCCCACTGTCAGTTGCTGAATTGTGACCATACCGGCGAAATTAGCAAGTGATGTCTCCGCAGCCAGGGCAGGCTTCTCCCCTTTTCTTTCTTGTTCTTTTTTCGAACGTGTCGGCTGCAGGAGTATTCTCAGCACAGAGACCGTGTGCCTGCCAAACGCTAACAAGCCGCCAGGGGAAGAGATTAAGTGACAGGGAGCAGAACTCTTTCCTTCACACAATCACTGATCTGCAAATTAGAGCCAAGGCGGATTCCTCTTCTTCCTGGTTCACCTTCAGTTCCCCATTGCCTTCCCCACACACGCTGCCGCCGCCGCCGCCGCCGCCGCCGCCACCACATTTTTGATTTGCTCCCTTTGGCTTGGACCCCCCTCCAGCCTCATATTCGTCTCCAGCATTTCGTTTGCCTTGTGCTTGCCTTCCGACGCTCTTTACGCATGCACGCTCCCCACCTCGGCTCCTTTTTCAGACCGGATTGCATTTATAGGTTTACTTTTTGTTTGTTCCTCCTTAAGTCAAGTGGGAATACATGTTCCTGGGGATCCTTTGGTTGTGTTGTGGTCCTTCTTACACCCAAAGTGTAACATCCATCGTTTAATAAGGGGGAAAATACAGCATTCCACCCACAAATATTAGACTGAGCTAATAATCCTTTCTCTTTGCCTTCAGTTCTTTAACCTGCCACTTCCAATAAAAAAGCCACCTAAATTCCTTCACTGTTATATTTTACCAAGCCACAAGTTTAAAAGCTCACTACATTTTGGCCAGGTATTATTAGTATTATTAATGACAGTTTAAAATCCCATCTTGGAGCTTCTAAATTTCCACATTCAATTGTAATGGAAATGAAAGATGGAGGAGAAAGAGAGAGATTTGGACATATCCATTGGCCTAATTTTTGTTAAGTCCCCGAGAGAGTCATGGGCTTTGTAACTGACAGCCCAGCTCAGCAAATCAGTGAAGCCTGATTTAAGCAAGAAAGCATACGCCATGGGAAGCAAGCTTTACTGAAATCAGTTTTTATGAAATCTTTGGCACTGTTGCCATCTAAGACCAAAGCATAAGCCATATTGATGGGACTCCATTATGCTTAGTGTCAAGGATAGGCTAGCTAAAAGAAAATATTTGTTTTGAAAGATGTTGGTCAGAATCCTTGCGAAAGTCCACATGAACAATACGGATTGAAATGAACCGTGCAAGACTAACTCTGGTCAACAGGACCCTAAAGCTGAGCTCCTCCCATTTATTTCAGTGGGGCTTACTGCAGGGGAACTTCCCCTGGAGGTCTTATCATTGGACCAAAGGGTTAAAAGTGTGAAACAGCACTCATTTCTACAGGAATTGGTTTCTGGACTAAAGAAAGATGAACGTGCATCTCCAAACATTGTGTTTCAATTAAAGAATTATACATCCCCTGTGAGTTCAAAATCTAAAAGCTAAAAACCTATGCAGTAAAAAATAAAAATCCATCGATTTTGACTGACAAGTCATCTAAAAAGAAAGACAGAGATTTTATGTTTTGTGTTCTTAATATAGCATAAACGAATAGAGAAGCAAACAATTAGACTACATAATAAGCCTGAAATGTTCCAGAAATTCCTTAGAAAACTAAGCATATCTGCCTAGAAATAAATCCCACTGAAATTCTTTAGGATTAGCAGGAAAAGAGAGATAGCCTGGCTTTGGTCTTCCCAAAGGTATGGATATACACACAACAGAGTTATTCTTAACATGGAAATATGGAAGAGCCCGTTGCTGAGAGTCAATAGGTTTGAATTAATGCCTTCTGTCATGGCACAGGCAGCAAGGAAAAGGGAAGGACCCTAGCCCTGGCCTGGGTTTTGGGGATGGGGGTAGTTACCAACTAGGAGTTGTCAGCTCGACAGAAGCCGTTCTCCCTGCCCTCTCTGGCCTGTCCCAGTTGCTCATTGGCCTGCATCCAAATATCGTTTTCCTCACAGTGCTCTGACTCGAAACCCTACTTGAAACCCTTGGCAAAGATATTCATCAGTTCAGCTCCAGCTTAGGGGAGAGACTTTCGCAGGCTTCAGAGGAACAACCCTGAGAACCAGAACTCTGTGGTCTGGACGGGAAGGAGGATGTGTCAAGGTTTCAGTACATTCCTTGGCACCAAGTCTACAGAAATGGAACTTAGAAAATGAGGTGTGGACCTGCGGTCCGGATCAATGTCAATATCTCAGTGGAAATTCAACGAGTTGGCGGTACATTCTGACAATTGCGTAACAGAAGTGCAGAGAAAAGGACCGAGATCTGGTGCTCGATGCCATCTTGGGTCCAAAGAACAGAACGTCCAAAGTGCGCACGAGAGAGAGATCCAAAGAGATAATTTACTTTTCCAGCTCAGCTGGTGTAGGAGGATGAAAACGTTCCAGGATCGCTGTACTCTCCACGGGAAAGTTGCTTCCGGAGGTCCATTTTTTCCCCCCAACAAATTTCTTCTCGTAGCTGTAGCACAATCCTATGCAGGCTTACTCAGAGGGCGCACTGGAGCAGCCTAAGACACCGCCAGTCCTGAGAGGGTCTACTCAGCCCGCTCCGACTCAGAAATAAGTCCCGTTGAGGTCAATAGGACATGCGGAGAACACATCCCTTGATGCTGAATAGGTACCATGCAGGATTCTGTGTTCTAATGGCCTCAGGAAATCTAAAACACACCCCCCCGCCGCCCCCCCAAACCTTTAAGATGTGCTATTTGTCATGTTTTTGTTATTGTTGCTGCTGCTGTTACGAGTATGCACCCAGCTAATTTCTGGAAAACAGTTCTGTTTCACGAGATCACATTTGCTTAGGCGTGTGCCCTTCCTTCCCTGAGAGAATTAAACCGGAGTGGATGAGGATCGTCCTGTCTCTAGACCTCAAGCGGAGATGTCTTCAAAGTAAATGAGGCAGCATGTTTATTTCGTGTCACTTTAGGGTCGAGTTGGCGTCGATGTTGGAGGTTGAATTAACATTTCAGCGACAAATCCTGGGTGCTGCCCCTCGAGCAGCTGCTGAGGAGTTTGACAGGAGGAGAGGAGGGGGGAGGGGAGGGGAGGGGAGGGGAGGGGGAGAGCCTTCCCCGCCCCCCCCCGCCCGCCCCTCTCGTTCAAACACTCCCCCGCACACTACTTCATCCGCTCTCGCAACTGTCCCGCTGGGAGCCATTGCCTTTCAATGGGCTTTCTTCGGCGGATCCTGTAACACAAGAGATGCTAGTGATTTTTCCCCCCTCCCGCGATTTGGTCATAGGGCAGAGATTGCCTGAGACAGGTAAATAGGCTGCGGGGTTGCGGTAATGCCAGGCGTATTTTCAGTTAATAGGGAGGGAAAATGAGGTGTCTGGAGCGATATTGGAAACTACAAGATCGATGATCCGTCCTCGTGTCCAATCAGCAGCCTTTAATTGACTGTATTTTCTAGGTAATTGAGCCACTGTGCCTCTAAATTGAAGTGGAAGATGTAACAATACATCTTTGCTAGGAGGAATTACTCATTACTTCATAATGAAATTTTCCTTTCGCGATGGAGTGGCTTCTTTCTCGCTTGCTCTCTCTCTCTCTTCAACACCCAGAATGGTGTTTGGCAACAGCTTGGTGGAAGAACGTGTAAGGAAGAACGCGAATGAGAAAAACATGGCAAAGGGGACCGGAAAATGAGAGGGGAGAGAGAACCAAACCCTCGCGGAATCAATGGATTCAATAAACATTGGCATAAGAACCTTTCCGCGTCATGCAGAAGGGAAATCGGGGCAGTGCAAAGCAGCTCCTGGGTTTATAGCTGGATGAGAAAACTCTTGATCCAAGTCTAGCAACCCTGCCCGGGGAGCGGTGTCCTTGATTTCGGTGGGGCTTGCACACACGTGGGGGTGGGGGGGAGGGAGGGCCGAGTATCCTGCATCAGGCTCGCAGGCTGCCTGCCTCGTCTCCGGGCCCCTCCGAGGTGCCACTTTCCACCCAGCCCAGTTCGGCTCCAACCGGCCGGCAGCGGGTTGTTAGCGTGTGATTGATTGCCTTATTAAAGCGTGCTCTTGTAAGTGTGACCGAGCGGATTGCATTGCATATGTTTGGAATAATGCTCATTTTAAGCAACTGAAGA